GCGGGCTGTCCTTCTGCAGGCTGCTCCTTCAGGGCGTGCCCCCCAACATCATCGAGTCCTACCTGCGCGACCTGCACTCCAGCCAGCCGGACCAGGACTGAGGCCGGCGCCTGCGCTCAGCTCCGCTGCTGTGCAATCCGCTTGGGAGGAGACAGAGTTTTCTGGTTCCCCACCAGGCCCCTCGTGTGGTCATTTTCTTTCCTCCTAATGTTAAAGAGAAGAAAACAAACAAACAAGCAGTTCGCACAAATTGCTTCATTAAAAATTGCAAACGGAAACCTCAGTGGCTGTCTGCACTTTGCGGGGTATTCTCTTCCCGTCTGTGTCTGTGGTGGGGAGGAGAGGCAGCAAAAGCAAGTCCTTCAGTTTAAAGTCAGAGGCTGAAAATGCTTTTTTAAAATAATGTTATTGTTTTGGGTTTTTGAGACAGGGTCTCACTATGTAGTTGAGACTGACCTGGAACTCACTGTGTAGCCCAGGCTGGTCTCGAACTCACAGCGATCCTCCTGCCTCAGCCTCCCAAGTGCTGGGATTATAGGCGTGTGCTACCACGCCCAACTTGAAAATGCATTTTGTACCCTGAAAAACACAATACACCGCCAGATAGAGTCCTGCGAGCTTGTCTGGCCCTCTGTCTAACAGATTTCTCTAAACAAACTGGAGTTGTTTATTTCATGCAGCCCAGCACCCTTCCCCGTCTGAATTCAGGAAAAGACTTAAAGCCGACATCAAAGTTTACCTCACAGGTGAATTTTCTGAGAGGGAAGGAAGGCGGATTCAGTAAAGGGTCCCCTACCCCGTGGGACACGGTGTGTGTGTCCCTGCTTGGGTCACACGAGCCCCCGCCTCACCACCACTGACCCAGGACCCGGGCTTGCAGCCAGCACAGCGGCGGCAGATTGGGCCCTGCTGCCGGCACCTTGACCAGTCTGGGACAGAGAAACGTGGCCGGAGCCGCCTCCTGCGCTTGGCTCTGCTGCTGGAGCCTCCAGGAGAACCTGCTGCCTCTGCTCATTCATTCTCCAGCCGTCCCGTTGCTTTGCTGTTCGGGGATCTCCTGTCCCACGGGCTAACAGACCGGGCCCCTGAGGTGTGTCCATAGTGCTTCTTTGTTTTTGTTGTTGCTTGGAGACAGGGTCTCACTGTATAGCACCGTCTGGCCTCGGACTCCCAGTGATCCTCCTGCCTCAGCCTCCTGAACTCTGGGCTCACAAGTACGCCCCACCAGGCCCGGCTTGACCCAGCTGTTTTATTAACCACCTGTCAGCTCGGTGTATAATTTCTGAGTGTTCCTGAATACTGGCTGTAGAAGTTGGGCCCCAGCCAGCCACGATGGCCTCTGTCCCCTCCCTCTGCCCAGCCCTGTGGCCCCTCTTCCTGCTTCGTCCGGTCTGATCCAGACCAAACTTTAGTCCTTCCTCACAGCCTTTTCTTCTTTTTCTTTTTGGCGAGGGGTACTGGGGATCGAACTAGGGACCTTGTGCTTGAGAGGCAGGCGGCGGCACCACTGAGCTAAATCCCAGCCCCTCATAGCCTTTTCTGAATGCGTCTCAGTACCTGAGTCTGGCCTCCCTTTTCCTAGGATAGCAGCAGAATAAGAAATAGGAAGACCAGGCCCTCTTCTCACCGGCTCCTCCTAAACCCTGACTGATTCCAAGCAAGACTCCCTGTCAATTTTACTCCCTTCTTTTACTGGTCACCACCTGCCGACCACCCCCCGGATGAGAGATCCCGGTCATGCTATGGGCAGGATTTATAAGACCCTGCGCATTCCGCCCCGACAACCAGGGTGGACTGGAGACACCACCGCCGACAGGACACAGCTGCCCGGATCCTGAGGGTCATCACCATCCTCTGGTCCCTCAGTGTCCCCAGAGGCACCAGCCCGAGCAACCTCGGGCCTTGCTGAGTATTCTCTTATAGCTGGGGCAGATTACGAGGGGCAAAGCCCCGGGGAGGGCAGGTGACAGAGGCCACTGACCATCCGGACAGGAGGACCCTCGCTGGCTCGAATAAACTCAGGGGTAAACAGCCCGGCACCAGGGCTTTGGCGTCCACACCTGGTTTTTGACCTGGCAAAGGTTCAGAGCTCTTACTACCAGGGCAGGAAGCCTCTCCTGTGGCCACCCTACCTTACCTTACTCCGATTGTGGAGTCCAGGAAAGGAACTTTAAAGATGTTATTTACCAATTGTAGAAATTTGGCTTAAGTTTTTTTGGTATTCTTCGTTTTTATCAGACAGGGTCCCCACTATGTAGCCCGGGCTGGCCTCAAACTCAGTACGATCATCCTGCCTCAGCCTCCTGGGTGCTGGGATTACAGGTGTGCACCACCACGCCTGGCAGTAGACTAAAATTTTTATTTAACTTCTTGAAGAAAGAAAAGAACTCAGGTTTATCAGTGCCATGGCAGTGAGGCCTCTTTCTTGGAGAGTCGTGATGTAGAGTCACGGGAAGAGAGCTAGGTTTTGAGGTAGCCCAGGCTGCTGTACTCTTTCCAATCCCAGCCCAGAAGCAGGTGGAGGAGGAGACGCGGTGGGAGTTGGGGGAGAAGTCCTTCCCTAGTTCTCCTACGCTTGCCAAGTCTCCAAGGTGGCCTTTCAGCCTTTGGTGACTCCACTTCCACGTTGAACTCACCACGTAGCTCAGGCTGGCCTCGAACTCACAGAAATCCTCCTGCCTCAGCCTCCAGAGTGTGTGCTGAGATGACAGACGTGCACCTCCACACCCAGCTCAAGGTCACACTCTCACGGGGTTAAACAGAACAACTCAGGAGGGTGTGACAGGACAAGAAGGTGGGGACTGAGCCTGTGGAAGAGGGGCACAGGCCCACACACTACTGTTTGCAGAGAGGGAGGGGCAGGAGAGACGGAGCCAGAAATATCCCTGCACAGTCAGCAATCTGGGAGGAAACACAGCGAGCGAATCAGCAGGGAGAATAAAAGAGCTCCTATTTCTCTGAAACCAGCCCGACCAACCGCGTGGCACTGTTTCTTAACCCTTCCCTCCGCACTGGGGACAAAGCCACAGCCAGGCCACCGCCAGCCGGACTGCATGGCACAGGCTGCTGCCATCTGCCTCCTCCTCCCCATGGGGCACCGAGAGCTTCCTGACTCAGGCCGCCCAGGTCGAGCCCGGCTCGCAAAGCAGGCAGAAAAAAAAGCAGGCAGCAGCCCAACACGCCAGACCGTTAGAGTGCTAGGTCCTCGGCGTGCAGCACACACAAAATGCAAAGCTTTAAGCACCCACCATCCATTACCCCACTGGCTCTCCATGTCAGTCTTCTCTGCCCCAGGAAGAACGGCCCCACACCGGTGATCCCAGCATGCTGGGAGGCTGAGGCAGGAGGATCACAACTTCAAGCCACGCCTGGGCAGTTGAGCAGCTCCACAAGACCCTAACCCACATCAAAAATCCAAAAGGGCTGAGGATGTAACTGTCAAGGCCCCCAGTGCTGTACAACAAACAAAACCCTGACCCAAACATGCTCAGACGGTCGCAAAAAGAAGGGCAGCCCATTGGTCGCTTGTCCTTTGTACTCCTGTCCCCTTCCATGAGGCCACTGTTACCTCGGTTCCTCGGGGCCCAGCAGCCAAGGGAGACAGGAGCGGGCTGGCTGGGGAGCATCTCTGGGGCTGGCCCGGGGCTGGGGACTAGGGCTCCAGCCCTCTTTGGTCCCACACGGCTTTCCACACAGGTTTTTATTTAGAGCTACTCTCTGTCTGTGTTGCCCCAAGCGAAGATGTCCTCCTAATGGTCCCCCTGCGGGATCCCCACAGATGCTGTCACCCAGAGTCCAACAGCAACTCACCCCGTTACTCCCGAGAGCCTAAGCCACAGAGGACCCGGGTCGTTGAAAAGGGAGTTCTTTTTTCTTTGAGACAGGGTCTCCCTATGTAGCACAGGCAGGCCTCAAACTCACAGCAATCCTCCTGCCTCAGCCTCCCGAGTGCTGGAGTGACAAGCATGCCCCAACGTGCCCTGCTAAAAAGGGATTTGGGGGGAAGTGGATTCACTCTCTGCCCCTCAAAGCATACCATAGGAAGTGCTTTCAAACAGTAGGGTATGAGTGAGGGGCCGGGGATGTAGCTCAGTGGTGCCACGCCTGCCTTGCAAGCACAAGGCCCTGAGTTCGATCCCTGGTACCAAAAAAAAAAACAAAAACAAAATTAATAGTTTTTTAAAATCAAGGCTGTCCAGAATGAAGATGCACACTGATCTTGTGAATTCTCCCATTCTCCACCCTGAGACACAGGTGACCTCCTGGCCGTCCACTTCCTGTCCCCATAAACAAGTCAGACGTCTGTCCTGTGTCTGGCTTATTTCCCACAGTATGATGTTGTTGGGGACGCGAAGGACATCCAGACAGCAGGAATGTAGTTCTGCCGAGGAGTAGAGGGCTGAAGCTCTCACAGACAGACAGCAGCCAACTCTCACCAACCCCGGTTTTTATCAGATACATGCATAATACTTCCACGAGAATCAACAATTAGTTCCTTACAGATTATATCTCTAGCAAAACATTAGAAAATATTTTTTATGAACGCCTGGTTCTAGTTATTCATATACTTTCTCAAAGCAGACCGTTCCCAGAATGTTATCGGATGGTTCTCAAGACTGTTTGCAGCCTTGAACTTCTGAGTGTGGCTCCGTGTGCGGAACCAGAGCTGCAGTTCCTGTTCCAATCCGTGTCCCAATGTAACCTTCTCCTCTACAGCACGACGCTTCCGGGTTTGCCCAAAACAGCTAGAATCTCAAAAGGTGTCACTGATCAACATTTCAAACATCAAGTCCAGGGGGTCAGACGTTCTCCTTGTAGGAATGTGGCAGCTAAACCTCAGCAGAACTGTGAAAAGGGTGAGCAGTGCAGAACAAACGAAGCAAGCATTTCAAGCCAGGTGTGATGGTGCACACCTGCAACACCAGCACCGGGAGGCTGAGGCAGGAGGATTGCAGGGAGTTGGAGACCAGCCTGGGCTCCACAGTGAGTTCAAGCCAGCCTGGACCGTGTTGAGAGATCCTGTCTCAAGACAAAACAAAAGTCCATTTCTTTAGTACCGAATTAACAAATGAAATGTCCCTTAATAGGAGAACGGATAAATAAATTCTGATGCAATCCTAATTCTAAGCAGCTCTTAGGAAGTAGAACTGTATGAGTAATTTCAAGAGTCCTCTCCAACATATTATGAAATACAAAAGCCACCTGCCTATAAATGTAAGGGTAATTTTTTTTTTATTGTGACCACAGATAAAAGTGCATTTCAGCTGGGCATGGTGGCGCATGCCTGTAATACCAGCACCCAGGAGGCTGAGGCAGGAGGATCTCTGAGTTTGAGGCCAGCCTGGGCTACATAGTGAGTTCCAGGTCAGTCTCAACTACATAGTGAGACCTTGTCTTCAAAAAAAAAAAAAAAAAATGTGCATTTCAAACTGTTAAAAGTAGTTTCCATTTTATCAGAGGCTTCCAAAAAGGGGAGTGAATATATCTTTAGTTTTGGTTTTGTTGTTTTGTTTTGTTTTGTTTTTTAAGACAGTCTCGCTACACAGCTCAGGCCGGCCTCAAACTCATAGCAATCCTCCTGCCTCAGCTTCCGGATTTCAGGCGTTACAGGCCTGTGCCACCACCTAGATTACATCCATTCTAGTAAATTAGTAAAATGATTCTTTTGATGGATACATAATGATCGTGTGTGGTAGTTCTGTGCAGCTATGCAATGTTCTGTGATCAGATCGCACACAGAGGACCTGCGTTCATTTCCACAACAAGCTCGCCTCCTGTGCCCTGCAGCGGTGCCCTGACCGACTCCTCCCGCACAGAGCAGGCTGAGGATCTCCATGTCCTATCTAGAATGCAGGGACTGCCCCAAACCCGCCCGGTCCACAGACACCAGCAGGTTGACACGGACAGAAAACTCTCCCCTGGGTCCGGAGAGAATGCACCGCTAACGTGTGTGTGTGTCCTTCTCAGTGACTCACAAACCTCCTGGCACTTCCCACTGATGTACTGAACGTGCGGTGCACAAACATGAAAAACCAGCTCACACCTGCGGGGTGTTCTTCACATTGAAGATCAGGAGGGCAGGGGCCGAGCGAGCGGGCAGGGAGTCTGCTCGGCATTGATGGCCGCACAGCTGCTACTGCAACTCCCGACTGCCGAGCAACCAGACATCGGGATAAACACGGCTCTCTCTACAGAAACGAAATTTGATTTTTCAATTCATATAATTCACATCATGAAACAGCGGCCTTCCTTTGACTTTTTTTTTTTCCAATCAAAAATTTGAAAGCTAGCAGGGCTTGGTGGCGCACACCTGTAATCCCAGCACTCTGGGAGGCTGAGGCAGGAGGATCACAAGTTCAAGTCCGGCCCGAGAAACTTAGCGAGACCCTGTCTCAGACTAAGAAAGAAAAAGGATTGTAGCTCCATGAAAAGGCCCTAGGTTCACACCTCAGTACCGAAAAAAGAAACTGGGGAAGCCAGACTGAGCTCAGGGGCTGAGTCCAGTCCCGCCTGCCCGAGGCCTTAGGAAGGGCGGGAGCGCGAGGTTTCCGGCAGGGCCGCCGGTCGGATCCCTCCTCTCCGCAGCC